TTTTTTTTTTTTTTTACAAATTTCGAAATCTTCATTTTCGAATTTTTTCAGATATTCTAAACTTTCCACGACAACACTGTTTTCTGTTATTAAAGAGCGTGCTTACAGCTCCGTTGCCTAGCAGTAGACCTCCTATTGTTGCGTGAGCCTGTGTTGCGGGAATGTGTTTACCGACCAGTTGCCTAGCAATGGGTATACACGTTATATATATAAACACGTGAACATTTGAGTTTCTTTGTATATATATATGTTCATTTTGCATTGTTGTAAGTCTGCGAGCATGGGATCGCAGTGTCAAGTGGCTGCATGGTAGGGCCTGGTCTTTTTCCTCTTTTTTTTAAAGTCCTATTCAGGTTAATGTCATTTAATGCGACAGTAATTTTATATACTAAACATTTGAGTCAAGTATTTATGTAAGTTGTCAGAACCACCTTAGGTACCTGGCCATCCTACAGAACCGTGTTACGATCCCAACCGCTCAAGATCTCTTTGGTCCTGAAGTGTCTGCCACTGCGATCTTAAAGCTCCTTTACTTACACTGCATTGTTAAATGTATTCTTCTCTGGTCAGGTAAATATTTCCCTAAAGTAAAAAGTAAAGCTATCCCTGTACCAGGCCGTGAAGCCCCATAAGGTTGTGAGACGTTGAGGGTCCCACATTATCTAGACAAGGTTGTCAGCCTTACGCGCCGGCCGCGCCTAACCTTTTGTATACTTGTCTGGGTAGTATACTGGTGGTCCGCGAGTCGGCGAACAAATATTCTCTCCCCTGCACTTAGGCATCTTGCCCATCTTGACAGGATACAGCGAAATCTGTGATAACGGTGTTGCCAACTTGACTCAATAATAACTGACGAAAAACGGTTCAGTTTCGTTTTCACCTCCCAGGTTCGCTCGTTCGCCATATTTTTATTACTGATTATGGGTTATTAGTGAGTAAGATATTGGAATGGTCTCCGTTGGTAAATTATTTACCAAATTTCGTGAACACGGTCATCTGGTTCTAAATTTTAAAAGGGAGGACATGCACATATTAGAGAGAGAGAGAGAACGATGATCTCATTAAGAAAGGAAAATCTTACAAAAAGAGAATATGTGAATACCGGAGCGACTGTGTTTGGTGTTATAGTTCAGCTTGTTAAGTACAAATTCCCTGTAAATAATATTTAAAAATTCAGTTATCTGGCTGCAAACGTCCTGCGTCTCAAATATAAACACGACTCAGTTAACGCTGATTTAAGAAATAGGCCTAATCGCTTCTTATTCTGTCAGTTATAAGAAACGCATAAAATCCCACGTGATACATTAGCGGTAACGCTGTAGACCCGTAATAGCAAGGTGCTCGTTTGGCCGCGCCATAGCTCAAGTAAATGGCTTCCCTCCGCGGCGGCCCGGGTTAGATCCCGGGTCTGGTCAAGTGGGATTTGTGGTGAACAAAGTGGCGCTGGGGCGGGTTTTCTCCGAGTACTTTCCACCAAAATCTCCATCATCATAATCACCCGGGGCAGGCTACAATAGGCCACTCAGTGGCCGCCGTGCCGAGTGGACCCAGTTAGACTCCACCCCCCACTAAGCGAATTAAAAGAAATTAAAATTGAAAGGTACTTGTTTCGAATCTAAGCCAGAAAGTCGGCCGTCCTGACAGTTTTATTTCGTGGTTTCTCTCAGCCAATCCTGGTAAGTGCCGGATAGCGATCGCGTGAAGATTGGAAAACAATGAAATGCCATTTTGATACTTATATTCAATATGCCAGATGTAGTTTAGTGGCTAGCACCTCTACCGCGAATTCCGGAAGCTCCGGATTGGGATAACGTTCCAGGGATCAGCTGTACTGACTGAGGAGGTTCGAGCTCACCGCGCTTCATCCAGGGAAATCCTGCCTTAGTAAATTATAAAATTTCCACGTCCACGCTCTTCTACATAATTTTAGTTACATTATTTGACGCTATACAATAGCTAAGTCCTCGTTAAATAACAGTTAATCAATCTAACTTACAGGTACAGCTTCGATATGCACAATTTATTTTATTACTTGTATATGTTATTTTAAGCAGCAACAACAGAAAGAAAACAAACTCCGTTGCCTGTAGTCCGCAAGCGAACTATATTGACAGAGCGACCGCCGCTTGTCGGCGAAGTTAGTGCCTACTTTAGCGGATAGAGGGTGTCGCGTGGTCAGCGCAACGAATCCCCACGGCCGATAATTTCGGTTTTCTAGACCGGAGCCGCTATTTGCTTGAAATAGCTCCTCAATTATCCTCACGAGGCTGAGTGAACCCCATTCCATACCCGCTACTTCTCAGAAAATCTGGTAGCGCAGGGAATCGAACCCGAATCTCTGGATCTGTAGCCAGGAACTCTTGACCACTATACTACAGGACCGGTGTTTTTAAGCAGCAACAAGAATAAATAATTAATACATTTCAGATAGGGAAATAAAAAAACAAATAATAACATTTAATGATGAGTCGAGATATCGCAGTCAGTATAGGGACTGGCTACGGGCTGGACGACCAAGGGTTTTGAGTTAAGAGTCCCGGTAGGGGCAAGAATTTTCACTTCTCCATGTCGCCCAGACCGGCTTTGGGGCCAACCCAGCCTCTTACCCAATGGGTACCAGGGGCCCTTTCCCTGGGGATAAAGCGGCCGGAGCATGAAGCTGACCACCCACCTCAAACTAGTACGAACTCAAGATTACGTGGAACTATCCCTCTACGCCCCTATATGTCTTCATGGCGTAGTGCTTAATTAGTTAAGCGCGGGGACAACTTTACCTTCAATAGCATTTAATGAACGTGCAGTGTGGAAAATTCGAATTCTGTGCTGACATACAATGGAGGATAGTGTCCATAGGATGAAGGGTAATGAAAGTAGGTCAAGAAAAAGTTGTGATCTGCATTCGCTTTGCTTGAGAAGACTGAAGGAAACAGTGAAAAGAGAAAAACATCAGATAGCTGGTGTGCCGTTCCTCTCTTACTGATGTAAGCTATCTCGGCGAAATCGTAAAAAGAGAAAACATGTTTTGTATCTTGTTCCATTTGCCACACCAGTGTACCGTTTGAGTGCATCTGAGCAACGAAACGCGTTGTACTCGGCCTGCCACAAGCGGAACGCGCTGGTATCTTCGGCAAAATATCGTTGAATGTCAGGATTATTGAAGAGTGATGAATTTTAAATAATTTGGAAAGGAGCGATCCTCATCTATTCGAGATACTGCCACATCTGCTTGGAGGGACTGAGGAATATCACAAAATACCTGGAAAAAGAATATGATCCGTTCTTAACGCACAGAACCGATGTGTTTACTTTCCACCTTTCGAGATGGGTACTATCTCTGATAGTAAACATGAAAATGACGTAGAACAGTGCATCCTAAACGATGATTTATGCATGCTTGGAACAGAGGTCCAGGTGATGTGATATCAGACTTACTGGTTCGTAAGCAGGTTATGTAAACATAATTACTCACCAATTACAAAACACTTTAATCCCTACGTAAACCAAGGTACCTATCGTCATGACGACAATACCAGGTACGATGACTTCTCGCACAGGATCAAGCCCCTTGTTACCTGCAAAAAGACATGAAATCGATTACCACAATTCGGAAATGAAAAGTTTACACGTAGATTCTTATGTAGTATGAACCCAGGATTAAGGGGTCTCCCATGTGCGACTGTACCTGGCAATAACAGTAAAGGTCACGTTGTTCTCAGCCATTTCTAGTTTTACTAAAAATCTGCCACGAAACCTACAAGGAACAAATTACGTACACGTTTCCTTCCATGTGTTGTTCATAATATCACATAATTATTAGGAATATTTCCTGCCTTACAAACCATAAAGTGCACAACGGAAATCAGCCTGTATTTCCAGTGCATTTTTCAATTTCAGAACCTAAAAGGCCCTGAAATCGTCAGATTTTTAAAGTAAAGCCGTATTATATAGGCCTATAGAAGGACTGGCTCAGCTGATGTTGATATTGAACAGATACCAGTAAAACAGTTTATCATAATAAGGTTGTAATTGCGAGTTTATTCTCGTGTGGGGTTATGTACACAGATTGTGATCACAATAATATTATCACTGAGGTTATAGTAAGTATTGTGGGACTTCCAAGGAAGATGATACCCTGAACTACAAGTTTTATGTCGTTGGACATTATCCATCGTCTTGTCTGTATCTAAAACCGTCCTGTTTATTTTTCAAAACACAACGTTTCGGATACTGGCTTCTGTCTCCGTCTTCAGGTAAAACCTACTCAGTTGGGACCAATAAATAGAGCTACTCCTTCTCTACGGAGATAGGGACTAGCTCTATTTATTGGATGAAACTGAGTAGGTTTTACCTGAAGACGGAGGCAGAATCCAGTCTCCGAAACGTTGTGTTTCGAAAAATAAACATGACGGTTTTTAGATACAGACAAGGCGATGGATAATATCCAAAACACAATACTTGTACCAATGTACCATAGTCACAAATTTTTAGATCTTATACCCTAAATTGCATACCATTATCGTAAGCATGCTCTTCTATCATGAAACATATTTTGGAAGCCATGTTCCACATGTAACCTCTGCGGCAGCGGCACGTTCTTAGTTCGGTCCTCGAGCAGATCAGGTTGAGTTCCTCAGCGCACTCGAAGTCCGTCCGGCATCTGTCACCGAACATGCGGCCTGCAAAGGGACGAACTTGAGTTGTATCATCGTCAGTGTCTGCATACTTCTCACAATAATACTACGGCTGTTAAACTAAGAAATGTATGGCCGGCTGGGGTAGTGGGCCTCGAACGGGGTCCACTCAGCCTCGTGAGGATAACTGAGGAGCTATTCCAAGGAAGCAGCGGCTCCGGTTTAGAAAACCGAGATTAACGGCCGTGGGGATCCGTTGCGCTGACCACGTGACACCATCCATCCGCAAAAGTTAGCACTAATTTCGCCGACAAGCGGCGATGGCTCGATCGGAATAGTTCGCTTGCGGACCACAGGCCACGGAGTTTGTTTTGTTTGTTTATTGTCGGCTGGGCACATAGCTCGAACGGAATTGTGGAGGGAAGTATTTCGAAAGACGACCAGTTAAAAGATTAAGAAAAAAGTAATATTATGATAAAATTGATCGAAGACGTTGCGAGGATGATAAGTGGAATAAACTGTTTCCGGATCCAGGCAATGATAGGTTACCGAAGAGCCATCGGGTTCTATTATTAATAAGTCAGTTGGGGTTGGGTGAAACTGAGTCCATTTGGTACGTCAGCTACTAATTGGCCTGTTGTACCAACCCCGGATGATAGATGATGCTGCATGTGGATAAGTCGATGGAATAAGAATTTACAGGGGAAACCGATGAGCTCAGAGAAAACCTGTCCCAGTGCCATTTTGTCCACCACAAAATCAGTCATTTAGTTACTTTTTGTATACTCATACGCACGCATGTAAATACGCAGCGAAATGGACGCTTTAGGCCTCTTATGGTTTCGTTACACGTCAATTAAATGTAATTGTAATTGCAGTACTTATCTCCACACTTGTACGCCCTACTTTTACATACAGGTGGGTAAAAGATGAGAAATGCATATTAAAATTTAATTGGAAGAATCGTCTTAGGAGATCGACGCAACTTAATCCCTTCCTCTTACGTATACACGGTGTCGAGGTTGTTTTTTCGTTTTGGTTATTTCATAGACGGTAGGACTCCTTTGACGAGTGATCAGCTAGTCACAAGGCCTCTACCTAAACACATGACAACACAAACACAGAATAAACACATACACATACAAAGCATCCATGCTTTGTGTGTGATTCGAACCCATGATCCCAGCTTCCGAGCACGTGAAGACAGTACATACCTTACACTACTCGGCTACTGTGACCGGCTGAGATCGACATAAATAAGAGGATAATAATGATGGGGGATAATATTAAAATTGGTCTTAATATAGTAGGACGTGAGGATGTGGAATGATTTCATCTTATGGGCAACTGGACGAAACTTCAGTTCTTATTAGGCTAGGTCTATGCTGGACAGATACGAACCAGCAACAATTCGCCTGGCAACTTTCAGTGTTGATTGTATATGTGTGTATAGCAGATTCAAACAGAACTCGTCGAAGAGGTTCAGAGATAAAACATGCGTACGGACGGATGGGCATGATCGCACTATGCTTTCATTTTATGCACTATATGAAAAGTTATCGAGATCCAGGGAGTATTTTCCCCAGAACAGATATTCTCATAAATTTCAAGGACACGCTAGTGGGCTGTAGCACACAACTGCCAATACCCGGATTTGTCTCGCTGTTACCACATCCGTCAGTACCGAGAACCTCCCAAATGGGACTACGGCCATGTCACGCATGAGCAGATGGCTGATATGAGCTGTCAGAACAATGCGTCTTACCTCTGCAGGGGAAGAGCCCGGTATCCGTGCGAGTGTCACACACACAACGCAAGTTCTGACACGTGTAGCCAGCCAGGTTCATTCTGGCACAGTCCAGGGTGTCCTGACATGGCATCGCACCTGAAACCATAGCAAAGCACATTTCAGAGGAAAACAAGAGTGGAACACTGTACTGCAATTCGGGGTAGACCTACACATATTTTTCAAATGCGAGCTTTGAAGTTTTGAATACATTAGCCTTTATGTTAATTTATAGTAGATAATTATCGGCCGTGGGGATTCGTTGCGCTGACCACGCGACACCCGTATCTGCTAAAGTTGGCAATAACTTCGTCGACAAGCGACGGTCGCTCTGTCGGTATTGTTCGCTTGCGGACTATAGGCCACGGATTTTTTTATAAACCTAAATTAATTCTGCAAAGTTATTCACTGTGAAACACAGAATATATTATGTGAACATTCTGTATAATTTATTGTATTTCTACATTAGATGTACTGCATAATCTGAACATGAAATATGAATTCACTGCTTGCAAGAACAAGAATGAGAAGTCGATGCAATGCGGTGAGGGAATGTGGAGACTAAACTCCGAATGTCACAAAATTAACCATTCAGGGCACAAAATTCCTCTAAATGATAATCAGAAATAAGTTTCTACCTCTGAGAAAATATATTGGACCCAAATTACAGAGACTACCTGGTTAATGTTCTAGTTCATAGGTAAAAATTACTGTTTATTCTGAGAATGAAACAGAGCGGTTAAGAAAAGTGCGGAGTATTTCTAAACAAAGGCAGGTGTGCGTATGGTTCATGCCCTGCTTTAGGTTGCTAAATGAATACCTCGGAAGGGAAGGCAAGAAATGAACGTAGAATTCAGGCGGGAAACCTCTGGGAAAGCGGGGACAACTAGGAAGCTTGAACTACGTATAATATCAATACAGAAATAAGTTTTAAGAATAAATTGAACTGGATCACGATCGTTTTCTGTTGCGGGCTTTGGTATTGCAGCTGCCGAATCTTCAAATACGAGAGAGTTGCAGTCAGCTTACGAAACTGATATTTGAGGTTTTGACGGCGGTGGAAGTTCATGTCTCGATATTCTTGATATAGCTCAGAAGATCGCATTCTAAAAATGGTTAAAAAGTTAGGTATTAGTGTGCGGGCTCTTGTGAACGTGGGAATGAAGCTTCGGGACCCATAAGATTCTGAGAATTGTTTGGTAGTTGAGCAATTATTATGTTCTGAAAGGGGACTGATTTCCATGGAGTTTGTTAGATTTAGGTTTCAGGCACACCTTGTTATATATTTACAGAATCAAGCTAACGCTACTGACATAAAACATTTACACAAACTCTCATTCAACGTGTCAAGTGAGAATTCCCGTGCCACATGAATTTGTCTTCTGGGTCTTTTAACCTATCCACTGTTATTTTGAAACGTAGTCTATGTAAATAAATAAAAAAAGGTAAGGCTATCACTGTAAGAGGCGGTGAAGGCCCATCGGGTTGTGAGACATCGAGGATCCTACATTTTCTAGACAGTCGACTCACAGATGGCGGTGAGGTTGTTAGCCTTACGCACCGGCCGTCCTTTACACCCCAGGAAGATTCCTGGCACTCATTTCTGTTAGAGGCTGAGTCGACCCCAGGACCATAGTGCGGCTGGAAGGACTAGGTCAATTGTAAAATCCAATGACCTCATCGGGATTTAAACCCGCGACCTTCCGGCTAGTAGCATAGTGCCTCAACCAACTACGCTACCGTGTGCCCCTATACAAGTAAGTAGGCCTACAAACGCGGCGAAGTTTTTTGTTCTAATGGAATAAATACATTTCCAAATATATTTCCTTTCCGAATCTGTGTTTCTCTTTCGTTTTGGTTTTCTGTTATTGTTTTACAAGTCAATTCCTTGATTTCTTTCGCCTTATCTATATTGTGCTCAACTTGTGTGGCAGAAATTAGCACTAATTGTTCCTAACTGAAATAAACATATAAAGCTATCCTCAAGGGAATTTTAGGGTTTATTTTAGAACGCTGTCTGTATATCAGACTGTACGGCGTCGAATGATAGGATGAAAGTAAGTCATAAATTAGAAAGAATTTGGAAGGAGAAATCATGGTCTAATATCGTGGAATTTTCCTGGCGAGACTGAGGGAAACACGAAAGACCTTAGTCAGGACAGACGATATCTCGGTCTCGACGTTTGAAACGGGCGCCTCCCGAGTACAAGTCTGCACCAGTCTGCTCGGTAATGACGGTAATTCATAACAGGAATGCATTTATTTATTTGTAATTAGTTAAAGATATATATAATATTGAAAAATATTCCAAAAAAGTTATAAATTTCGGTGTGATCTGTATATTACGTCGTATGACTTTTTACTGTGCGATGAACAGTGTTTGAGAAAAGCAGTTAAGTTCCACTTCAGCGTTATTGTAAATTTGGAGTTAGGGATAAGCACTTATATTTTCTGATCAAATTTTGAATATGAATTCCTATATCTTTACTGATGACCGCCTCTGTAGTCTAGTGGTCAGAGTTCCTGGCTTCAGAGCCAGAGGTCCGGGTTCGGTTCCCGGCGCTACTAGATTTTCTGAGAAGTAGTGGGTCTGGAACGGGGCCCACTCAGCCTTGTGAGAATAATTGAGGAGCTATTTCAAGGAAATAGGGGCTCCGGTCTAGAAAACCGAGATTAACGGCCGTGGGGATTCGTTGCGCTGACCACGCGACATCCTCTATCCGATAAAATTGGCACTAACTTCGCCAACAAGTGGCGGTCGCTCGGTCGGTATAGTTCGCTTGCGGACTAAAACCACGGAGTTTGTTTTATTTGTATCTTTACTGATGCGCATAATTTTGGAGAAGAAATATGAGAGCGGAGATACAGACGAACCAGTAAAAGAATGGATATTACTCTTCCCCTTACGCGTTAATTGTGTGCTCTTTGTGCAAAGAAAAAATAAAGAAATATATAACCTAGTTAACTAGACTGAATAGAAAGATAATTGTTACTGTTCACTGAAACCTCATGGAATTTATTCCCTTTTATTACTAGATTTACGGGAAACCCCCTTGTTTCGAAATCCAGAGAAATCTCTTACAATGTATCGTATGCTGAAGTGTACACAGAGAGAGGACATTCCGAAGAGATATTTCGTAATACACAGACACACAAACTGTACTGACCAATGTTCTGTTTGTTTCGTAGACTTCTTAACGATGATTTTTCTCCGTAGATTAATTGTAATTTCGAATGGGATAATTTTGAATGATGAATTTATGTGAAAGGAAGTGGCTGTGTCCTATTTTAAGGCAATGTCTCGTCATTTTGCTTGGAAGGACTGAAGAGATCGTGAAACTTAGTCAGGATGGCCTATCCTAGCCTCCTGTCCGATAGAGGTTTGTTTCACCCTGGTTAAAGCCATCGGGGCGTGAAGCTGACCACTCACTACTTCTAGGACCGGGGTTACGCATGCGTGCAACTATAGTTGGACACCCTCCGATACGTGTTCATGGCGTGCTGGATAATTAAGGTTAGGGACAGCTTTATCACTTTACTCTTTACTTTGGTATATTCTGTACTTCCCGACTATAAACACCTTGCTGTACTGTGCCATTATGAACCCTTATCGACGATAATATTTCTTAAAAGAATAGTCTTTTGCACGTAATGGAAAGAAATATTCAGTGTATACATTACAAAAGGCTTATAATTTTCGCAGTCACATTCTGACTGCTTTACGTAAACAGAGATATATGGCATACTTGTCACTTGTCAGCAAGAAAGTGAAGAAAAGAAAAGTTGCTTGTAAAGCAAGTTCTAGCGAAAATTTGCAACGCCTGTTCCCTTCAATTACAGAACCTGTGTGGTGAGACAAGGACTGACTACACATTAATAATTATCAGTCACAAATATAAAACTTACTGATCTGTTTTATTTGTTTTTGCTCTAGTACAACATCCGACTGCACTAATTTTGTCAGATATAACCTCAAAGTGTAGCCCTGCTGCCGTATTTTTAATTATTAACATGTCCAGTATCAGTCAAACAACGCTTCTAAACGTGTTTATGATCCATCTCTGTACAGAATTCTATATATCGGGCCCCCCGCGATCATTAGCTATCACCACATAACCGAACTCTAAAAACAGATTCTGCGCATTTGCCAATTTGCTGTGTTAGGTTTTGCAGAAAACTTCCGTAATAAAACTTACATATTTTTTGGAAGATCTATTACCACACAATTTCAACACTTTTCATAAAATAACGTTTGTGTCTCCAAACTCAAAATTTCGGACAGCCGCCATGTTGGTGTTACTGAAGGCCGGAAATTAAAAAACGCATAGATGGGATGGCCTTAGTGACTGATTCAAAAGTTATCATAGCAAGAGACAGGAACACAAACACCACGATAATATTATGCACGTATTATTTATAACATGTGGTTAACAGATTTTGTATGATTTTCCGTGCGTTCTTACACGCTTTCGCGATGTTATGCTACTTGTGTGAAAGGCACGTGGTATGTCGTGTACAATCAGCAGTAGTTCATAACTCGTACACACATAAGCGCCTTAGAATGTTTAACTGCTGCAGTAACTTGGTGTATTATCACAAAATTCGATGTCACTTGACGCTTGTCACTCTGAAGAGCTTGACCGCTAGTGAAGACCAATACCCCGAAAGTTGAAACTGTGTTTTGCGGTGCCGACGGAGCCTCTTAATTACCAACTTCTTGGAACTAAGAATCACCCACACATATACATACATTCACACCATATACGGACGTCGCGGTAACTTACCAGACACATGAGTGAGACTGACGAAGATCATAACAGCTAAACACTTCACGCTGAGGAGAACATGCATTGCCGTTCGCCTTCGCTGTAATTATCTGCCGATGATTTTTAGACGGCTCAGTGTGCCCTCGAGCCAGAACTGCTGCATGGCAACCGGCGCAATATTGATCGTACTACCAGCGAGCGAGGGAGGAAGCAGTACCCGGTCCCCATAAAATGAACGGACCCTCCTCTCACCCCCACCTTTCTCCTTAGCTAAACACGACAGGTTGTAATTGTAGGCGCCTTTCTGCGCCAGTGCATCTCACGTAACCCGTCGGCCAGCGCTACATCTGCAGATCAACTAAATTGTATCAATAAAATGATAAATTGTATTCACAGAATCTTGGCAACCTCTTCATTCTACATATACGCGTATCGCGTTTGTGAAATAACGAGGTAATAAATGTCTGCTGTAATATGGTATGTCTTGTCCAAGAAAAACAAGTACCTTATATTACGCAGTCGAAATATTACAGACGTGGTCAAGAATAAATAGCATGATTCAATAATAACAGATGGCAGACTTTGTAGATACTTCCAGCGAAAATGTGCATCATCGCTCTAATAGTTCCAATGCTCTCCGCATGATTATGGGGGCAGTACTGAATAGAGAATTTGTAGATTCGATATATCTCGAATCATTGCTGTGTTCGATATATGTCGAAAATCGTAATATTTGCGCGAATTATGATATTGGTGTTTCTTACGGGCAAACCATTGATAACAATCAAAAACAAACTGACTCGGCAGTTAGGAAATTATCTTTGTTCCGCGGGTTTGGGTTTCCTTATTCTGTCTCGCCGGAAATGGATTTTCGCGAATGATTACACTCACGTCACACTGGGCAAGTCCTCGTGAACTGCAGGTTTCAGATTATGAGGTAGAGTTAAAAGTTACCTCTGGATTTCTTGCTCTCACAGCCGTGAATGTGAGGTGTGCTACCTTCTGGGATGTCACACTGAGTAGTTCGGTACAGTTGTACTTGCCGCCTGCTTCTTGCTGGATACTTGCTTGGCTTACTCTTCGACCTTTAAGATGGAGGCAGGATGTTCCTCCAAAACACTAGTCAGCTTCTACCGGGCAACGTGATAATACATCCTAGAAGACAGTTCTCTACAAGTTGTTATATCATAGTCCTGTCACGGTTGAGAGTGACTTCAGACGGGATTTGGATTAATGAAATGGATTTATTGACCTCTCGTGCACACCACTCGGAACTACAAGTAATTACAGCGCTATCCCTGATTTCCGCATTTTACAAATCACTAGCACATGCTAAGTCTTGTCAGCCTTCACTAGTCGTATCCTGGCAACGGATTTTAATAGAGTAATTTCAACAGTCTCACTGTAACTACAGGACACATAAAGTCTTCTTTTCATAGTCGCATTCTTGCAACTATCCATTTTCTGCACAGTCGAATTTCAATTCTTAATTAACTGTAGCGCCATCTCTTCTCAGCCTCTCTTACAGAGCTCAACTAAACTGCCAACCCTCAACTGATCTGGATGCCCCAACTCTTTTCTTTATAACTTCTTAGCACGGACTAAATAGAAAACACTGTTTCCAGCAATAACTCTATTGTTGTAAAGGGGTGTTTACCGGTCCTTTGCTTAGAAACGGGTTTCATTACCCCGTTGCTCTGTTATTGCGTGTGTGTATGTTGCGGGCTTCACCTAGAAACGGCTGCTGTTTACAGAGTCACCGCTTAGCAACGGATCTATACACTACAAGACAGTAATAACTAACTCTGTCAAAGTTTCAGAACTGCTACCACCCAAATCTCTCACTGAACACTAACGTAAGCCGGTCCCATCCTCATAACCAATCTTCCTGCATGTTATATTAATGCTATTCTTCCAGCCCTCCAAAGCCAGTTTCTACGAGGTTTCCCCACGACAATTTCGTATGGATTCCTCGCTCCCCCTCCTAGCTGCTGCGGCCCGCGTGAGGAAGTCCGTGCTTTAGAAACGACTACACACACGTCATGGCCAGTCAAGTATGTACCTAATAACAAGAATGGAAATGTGTATTCGAGTTGAGTGAAATATATTTTCCAGATGCCTTCTTTGAGATTTTATATACCCTACTGGCCTTGCTGATACACATCTAATGAAACTAGAAAAAGGTGTCAAGAATCTTCCTTGTAAAAAGGTAAAAATGGTAAAGCTGTCCCTGTGCTTAACTAACTGAGCACTACGCCATGAAGACGTGTGGGGGAGTGGATGTATAGTTCCATGTTTTCTTGACCTCGGAACTAGTTGGAAGTGAGTGGTCAGCTTCACGCCCCGGCCGCTTTACCCCCCCCCATTGTATAGGAGGTTGTGTGGAGCCCAGAGCCAGTCTGGACGATTGGAGAAGTGAAAATTCTTGACCCTACCGGGACTCATACTCCGATCCATACCCAGTCGCTATACCGACTCCGCTATCCCGACTCCTGAATCTTCCTTGTGCTTTATTAAATAAAAGTAAAAGGTAACATTGTCCCCTGTGTTTAACGAATTAAGCGCTACGCCATGAAGGCATATGGGAGCGTGGGCGTATACGTGTAGATCCACATTTTCATGACCTCGGCACTGGCTGAAGGTAAGTGGTCAGCTTCACGCACCTTCCGCTTTACCCCTGGGGAAATAGCCCCCGGTGCTCATTGGATAGGAGGCGAGGTGGGACCCAGAGCCGGTCTAGACGACGCTGGCTTCCCACCGCGGCGGCCCGGGTTCGATCCCGGGTCTGGTCAAGTGGAGTTTGTGGTGGACAAAGTGGCGCTGGGGCAGGTTTTCTCCGAGTACTTCAGTTTCCCCTGCCAATCTTCATTCCACCAGTTGCTCCACAATCACCCTCACCTATCATCTGGTGCTGGTACAATAGGCCAGAAGTGGCCGCAGTACAAGGGACTTAGTCCCACCCCACTAGCAATAAAAAATAATAATAATGTTATCCTCTTATCTATACGGAGGCCTTGCAAGTATTTTCTTCCTTCCCCCTGAGCTCTACGTATCACTCCCACACAGTCCTCCTTGACTAGATCAATAATTACGTAATAATGCATTTGTGGATGTCGGTTCCGGTACTCGGAGAGACAAACCCGTAAATTTTCTATAACAGGTATTTATTGCTGTTAGAAGAAGAGCATACAGACTAGCAGGCTAGAAGAGTGCGCGGTAACCGGGCTGGCTTGTACTAGGTACGGCGGGCTTCCTTGCGTCGGCAGCCAGGCGACTGCCAGCCGGCCGCAGGGCGGTAAGCACTGGCGGTGCTCTTCATAATGAGTCTGGGCGACCGCTCTCGGTCTCGACTGACGACGTTTGCTGCCAGGTGCCGCTAGGAGACTCGCTGTTGCTGGATACGCTCCAGACGAGCTGTCTACAGGCAAGAGTAGCTCAGGATGACTGACTAGGTCGAAGTCAAGTCAAAGTCACATTGCGACTGACGGTCGGTCAGTCTGTCTGTCTTGGTGTCCTGTCCATTTGGGGCGTCCTCTCTGACGAGAGGTCGGGTCCGTCATTTGACTGACTAGGGCGATGGGGACCGCATCTTTATCCGCTGTTGCTAGCGGTGCGCGCCCCAATAAACGTTGGCGCTGCCGTGGTCCGCCCTGATTGGCTAGCGTTTGCTTCGCTCTGACGATCGACCAGAAGTTGGTAGCTGACCTGTAGGTGCGTTGCGGTAGGATCCCACACATAAGAAGACTATTAGCAAGTGCGACTGTAATTTGATGGTGCAATGCCCTGCTTATTGGAACATCAGTCTGGACTTATTGAAGGGCATCACAAAAAGTGTGAAATTTGACCAGTCATATTTTGCAGTTGGGCTTAAGCCATGGAAGGCGCAGATTCATAGCAGCAAAACCCGCTATATGTAGAGACTATAGGCAAGAAATCCACAATTTATATCGACATAAATAATAAATTACGGAAACAACACTCTGAGACGAGTCGTGTTGTGATTGCAGAGAAGTTTTTTACGTGTTGGTTCTTACGTGCGCCGTTTCTAGACTCTATTACTTATGCATCACTTCATCAGACTCCAACAGTGCTCCACAGTAAGCAGATGCGCATGCGCCACGACAACTGAACACACACAAGCCGAGCAAACTGGACTCGCTACTTGCTGCCTTGTGTGCGTTCTTATCCAAAGGGCACAAAATTAACACAATAATATTTTTATACTTATTTCACATTCGAAACAGCTCGACTTCACTAAAACTGTACAAATGAATTGAATTTAGTTGTATTTGTTGGATAATATTAAAATAGATCTTAGAGTGATAGGATGGGATGGATTAGATTCATCTGGCTCAGGATAGGGACCACTGGAGGGCTCTTGTGAACACGGTAATGAACCTTCGGGTTCCATAAAATGCTGGGAAATTCTTGAGTAGCTGCAGAATTGGCGGCTCCTCCAGAAGGGCTCAAGCTCCATGATTAAGTAAGCTGTTATCGGTTGAATGTGACCGATACTTTGAGTGAAGCGGAAGTTGAAATTCATGTAATTTCAGAAAAATTGCTCAGCATTGATTAATTTGATATGTGAAAGAAAATACGGATCTCACTAATAAAAAAATCGTATTTGTAACACTTTTCGATATGGCTAACATTTAATGGAGCACGAGAGAAAATAAATGTTAGTTCTACTCCCGTGTATGTTTACTTAGGTTAGGTTCGCAATGATGGTCTAACGATTTGCATCTGTAACGAATGAATACTGATGTCAGTGAGGTTTCCAGTATCGCAAATCACGTATCTGGAGTGTACACTGCCCAGTCATGTTATGGAGCAGAAGGAACTCCCTTAGCAAGCTGCTGTATGTATCTATGACGTCAACACACAAAAATATTTCCATCTCACGAATCTTCCTAAGAACTTTAGTGCAAGAATTTGCATGTGCTGCATACAGTGTAGTTGGAAATTTGTCTGTTTACGTGAGGCGAGGTTTAATGCTAGTCTAACATATTAGTACAGGGGTTTAATGGTTTCTCTTAAATTTCAACAGATGCGCCATACTTGGTTGGTTCAAGCTTCAGCTTAGTGAGGTATGTTTCTAGCTGGCAGTGACGTGAACGCTGGAATTTAATTTGTCTTACAGAGCAAATTCGTTTGACTGTGCGGAAGATGTTCCATAAAATTGAAGCGTATTGCTCGTATAAAATGTCTGTGTCACCTGAAACAGCTTTTTCCTTAAATATTTAAGATGAGCTTATGAAACTGATAGCGCAGTCATACTAGTTGAG